GACTGTCCCTCGCCCGCCGCAAATCGTCACAATGAGCGACAGTGACGATTATTTAGTCGAAGAAGCCCGAGCTCGCCGCGGATGACCCTATGCGAACATTCCTTCCAACGTCATTCGGTACCAAGACAAAAGAAGCCAACATACAGGAACAGCTGGAGAGGAGCAGGCGAAAAGCAGCAGGTCCACCACCCGACAGGCAAAAAAAGAAGTCGGGCTCAGCAAGTGACAGCGACAGCGACAGCGATGACGACAGCGACGACGACAGCGACGATGACGACGAATACCCAGTCTCCCACGAGCTGGTGCTGAAGACACACGAACGGGCTGTCACGAGCTTGACACTCGATCCCGCCGGCGGTCGCCTGGCCACGGCCTCGATCGATGGAACAATCAATTTACACGACTTTGCGGCCATGACGCCAACGACGCTGCGCGCCTTCAAGACTGTCGACCCATGGGCCGCCAAGAATGCTGCTGCCAGTGACGAGTCGCATCCGATTCACCACATCGAGTTCAACAGTTTGGCCGGAAACGCCTTCCTCTGCATTTCGGCGCATCCCCAGGCGAAGATTATCAGCCGCGAAGGAGATATCTTGACCGAGTTTGTCAAGGGAGATATGTACCTGCGGGACATGAACAACACCAAGGGCCACATCTCCGAAGTCACGACGGGTACCTGGCATCCGACAGATAGGAACCTGTGCGTGACTGCAGGAACCGACAGCACACTACGCATCTGGGACATCAACAACAAGCGATCACAGAAGGAGGTTATCGTCTTCAAATCCAAAGCGCAGGGATCAGCGGGTCGTACGCGCATGACGGCTGTCGCATGGGGTGCGCCGGCACAAGGGAACGGCAATGTGCTGGTCGCAGCAGCGTACGACGGGACGCTGGTCATGTACAGCGGCAACAGCCCATTCTCGAGGCCAGCAGCCGAGGTACATGAGGCGCATAGGCCGAATACCTGGACTGGCGGTATTGACATGTCGTCTGACGGACGGATGGTCGTCACACGGGGAGGCGACAACACCATCAAGTTATGGGACACCCGAAAGCTCAAGACGCCGCTGGTGACGGTCGATCACCAGTCGACGTCGGACCAGTTCAACATGACGAACATCAAGTATGCACCTAATTCCACGAGCATCCTGACGGGCTCGGCGACAGGAGACCTGCACATCTTAAACCCGGGGAACCTGCGACCAGAGCTCGTCACTCCGATCACGCCGGGATCACCGCTGATCACGGTGGATTGGCACCCAAAGATCAACCAAATCATGACGGGATCGGCCAACGGCGAGACACATGTCTTGTTTGACCCGACGAGATCCACGCGCGGTGCAGTCGATGTCATGTCGCGCGCCCCGAAGAAGCGCCACATTGACGACAACTCGGCGCTGACAATGGACATGTCAGCGGGCATCTCGGGCGACTCGATCGTGACGCCGGGCGCCATGAACAACAGCAGAAAGGCTGGACGAGGCAAAGAGGTCATGCGACCGGAAGCCCAACAGCAAACGCCGTTCATGAAGAACCAACCCGATTCAAAGCACATTGCGGAGAACATCCCGCTGGCTCGCATGCTGCACGAGGATCCCAGAGAGGCGTTGCTGAAATATGCCGAAGCCGCGCAGAAGGATCCTCAGTTCACGGGTGCTTGGAAAGACACGCAGCCGGTCACACAGTATGCCGAGTTGAGCGACGATGAAGATGAGGGGCCAGACAAGAAGAGGGCAAGGAGGTAATTGGCCCGACCCGAAATTCGGTATCTGCGCATCGGAAAGCAAGAGATCAGATCAGCCATGTATGTATGGCTGGCAGTAGCGTCCAGGTAGGTAAGTACCTTAGGTACCTTACTGTCTATGCGGCCGCTTTCCGGGCCTCGCGTCCACGGATCCCCCAAACTCGCCCTGGAATAAGGGGGGGATTGGGGGCCACGCTGGCTTGGCCCAGGTCGCTCGCTGGCTGGCGGCGGATGCGGCAACCGACCACTGGCCCTTGGAGAGGGAGGAATGATGGGCGACTGGTTGCGGATAGGTTCTCGCATCATGGTTGGTCAGAACCTCCACGGCGAGTGGGCCCAGTGCACCCTGGAAGGTAGCTGCTTAGGTAACGCCGATAGCGTGATCAAATGTACGGTCGGGCCGCTTTTTGCAGCACCGCACCAACCATCCCACTCCAATCTTGTCTTGTGGTCTTCACCTCTCCAGCCAGGTCCAGGTCCAGTGTCAGCGTGAGTGTCCCATCATCAACCGGCGACCGCGCGCATCGAAAAATCGCCAGTCCACCCCCGACGCCATCGACACCCATCGCCAAAAGTGTCCGGCAACCTTTCCCACGCGATTTCCCACCGCACTTCGCGACTCCCATTCCCTCGACGCGACTCGGTGCCATCCTCGCACATTTTTCCCACGCCTGCCTCGCGAGGCCCCTACCACCACGACCCCCATCCAATCCCTTCCCCACGCCTCGCGACCACGTCCACGACGCACCGCGCCTCGGCCCCCATCCACCGAGTCGATTGGCATTGATTCCAACGACGACGCGACATCTCATTCGATCCTAACCACCCACTGTCGCTTGTGCTTTCGCATCAATTCGATAACCTTCGCGTCGCCTGTCCTGAACGCGCTCTAGCCTCCCCATCACAGGCCCACGTTTCGCGCGATCAGGGCATCATCTGGAATTTTACGCGACGTGGTCCATCCCGGATATCGCGCGTGCCCCACGACACCATCCCTTCAGACCCAACCCGCTTGGAGATGCACCCGAGATAGCCAAGTAGATAGGGATTTCTCTTTGGTCACCAAGGCTTTTGAGGACACAGCAACCAAGATGGCTTCAGTACAGGTCCCTCCCGCCGTCCAGCACCCTGGCGCCGGGGGCATGCCCACCGGGCCAACACAGCAGCAGGCACAGGAGGTGTTCATGGTAAGCAATAGTCCATCCCTGCTCTACACGTCGTCCTCGTCGCCGCCGCGTCGACAATCGAGGCTGCCCCGTCCTGTCCTGGTACTGACTGTCCACCGTAGAAGCTCAAGGCGATGAAGGAGCGCGGCGTCCCTGCAAACGACCCCGACTACATCAAAGCGCAGCAGTTTCTCTACAACTTCCAGCAGCAGGCCCAAATGCGACAGAAGCAACAAGCATGGCTGGCGCAACAACAACAGGCCCAAGCACAAGCAAAGGCCGCCAACGGCGCCGTCAATGGCGCCCAGCCGCAAAACCTGCAACAACCAACACCCCAGCCGACCCAACAGGGCCTGTCCGCCGGCATCGGCGCGCCTAAGGGACCAACAAACGCGACAGCGAGCTCTCCCTCCACACAAGTTGCCCCGAGCCACTTCACAACACAGCAGTTGGCTCTGCTGCGCCAGCAAATCTCAGTCTTCAAGTTGCTGGAAAAAAACCAGGGGCGTGCCCGAGCCGATGCAAACAAAACATCTATGGGCAACGCAAGCGCAGGAGAGTTGTCGCTGCAGAGGCTGTAGCCGCGACTTCGAAAGGCGCTAGACGCGGCAGAAGTGAAGGGTGTCGTCTTTTCATCAGGTCCTGGCGCGGCGGGAAAGAAGCCCCTGAAGGAACCGTCCTTCAAGACGGTCCATTCGCCGTTCGAGCCTGAAGGCCCAGTCCCAAAACCTATCAGCTACTTCAACCACATGAAGGGCGAGAACCGTATCCTCCTCCCGGCCATCCTGCCCACTGGCGTTGATGTCGACCAGCTCAGGCGTGACAGGGAGATGAGCATCAATAACCGGATTCGCGACAGGTACCACGAGCTGAGGAAGCTGCCTGCCAATTTTGCCCACTGGGACGTCAACTCGGGCGAACTCACTCAACCCGACGACAGCGCCAGGATCAAGGCCATCATTGAGATGAAATCTTTAGGTCTCTACAAGAAGCAATGTCTCCTGCGAGACAGGATCGGGAAGAGTATGATGGCGTACGACAACCTCGCCATGACGACAAACCGCAGCAACTACCGTCGCATGAAGAAGATGACGGTACGCGAGGCACGCATTACTGAGAAGCTCGAGAAGCAGCAGCGCGACGCCCGCGAGAGCCGTGAGAAGAAGCGCCATGTCGACTTCCTCCAGGCTGTCAGCCAACGTAGGAACGAGATGATGCAGACGACCAACGGTCAACGCAACAAGTCGAACAGGCTCGGCAGGCTCATGAACACCCAACACACCAACATTGAGAAGGAGGAGCAGAAGCGCATTGAGCGCACAGCCAAGCAGCGTCTGCAGGCCTTGAAGGCCAACGACGAGGAGGCTTACCTGAAGCTGCTCGACCAAGCCAAGGATACCCGTATCACCCACCTTCTCCGACAGACCGACGGTTTCCTCAGGCAGCTCGCCGCATCCGTCAAGTCACAGCAGCGCAAGGCAGCTGCCGGCTACGATGAAGAAGAGGAAGAGGAGATGCCCATGGAGGATGACAGCGAAGCCGACTCTGACGAAGAAGAGAAGGCCAAGAAAATCGACTACTACGCTGTCGCCCATCGCGTCAAGGAAGACGTTACTGAGCAGGCTTCCATCCTCGTTGGTGGTAAGCTCAAGGAGTACCAGATCAAGGGTCTTCAATGGATGTTGTCGCTATACAACAACAACCTGAATGGTATCCTTGCTGACGAGATGGGTCTCGGAAAAACCATTCAGACCATCAGTCTTGTCACCTACCTCATCGAGCGGAAGCTGCAAGACGGCCCTTACCTCGTCATTGTACCCCTGAGTACTCTTACGAATTGGACACTGGAATTTGAAAAGTGGGCCCCTTCTGTCACCAAGATCGTGTACAAGGGTCCACCAAACGCGCGAAAGCAGCAACAGGACAAGATTCGCCAGGGCCGATTCCAGGTGCTCCTGACAACCTACGAGTACATCATCAAGGACAGGCCGATTCTCAGCAAGATCAAGTGGTTCCACATGATTATCGACGAAGGCCATCGTATGAAGAACCAAAACTCCAAGCTCACGGCGACCATTCAGCAGTACTACCACACCCGCTTCCGTCTCATTCTCACGGGTACACCGCTTCAGAACAACCTGACAGAACTGTGGGCCATGCTCAACTTTGTCCTGCCCAACATTTTCAAATCCGTCAAAACCTTCGACGAGTGGTTCAACACACCATTCGCCAACACGGGTGGCCAGGACAAGATGGACCTCACAGAAGAAGAACAGATTCTCGTCATTCGGCGTCTTCACAAGGTGCTTAGACCGTTCCTGCTACGTCGCCTGAAAAAGGATGTCGAGAAGGACCTTCCGGACAAGACGGAGAAGGTCATCAAGTGCAAGTTCTCGGCCCTGCAGACCAAGCTATACAAGCAGATGGTCACGCACAACAAGATTGTCGTGTCGGACGGCCAGGGCGGCAAGACTGGTGCTCGCGGTCTCAGCAACATGATCATGCAGCTGCGCAAGCTCTGCAACCATCCATTTGTCTTTGGCGAGGTCGAAAATGTCATGAACCCCCTGAATATCAGCGACGACAAGCTCTGGCGTACGGCTGGCAAGTTCGAGCTTCTTGATCGTATCCTGCCCAAGTACAAGGCGACGGGTCATCGCGTGCTCATGTTCTTCCAGATGACGGCCATCATGGACATCATGGAGGACTACCTGCGTTACCGGAACTACCAGTACATGCGTCTTGACGGCACGACCAAGTCGGACGAGCGATCGGATCTTCTGAAGGATTTCAACGCACCCGACTCGCCGTACTTTATGTTCCTGCTGTCGACGCGTGCCGGTGGTCTCGGTCTCAACCTGCAGACAGCCGACACTGTCATCATTTACGACTCGGATTGGAACCCGCATCAGGATCTGCAGGCTCAAGATCGTGCGCATCGTATCGGTCAGAAGAACGAGGTCCGTATCCTGCGTCTTATCAGCTCCAACTCGGTTGAAGAAAAGATCCTGGAGAGGGCCCGTTTCAAGCTCGACATGGACGGCAAGGTCATTCAGGCCGGTCGTTTCGACAACAAATCGACCGAAACAGATCGTGATGCGATGCTGCGAACCCTTTTGGAGTCGGCCGACTTGGCGGATTCGGGCGACCAGGAGGAAATGGATGATGATGAGCTGAACATGATGCTGGCTCGAAGTGATGATGAGGTGGCCGTCTTCCAGAAGATGGACGAGGAGCGCAGGAAGGATGTCACGAACATCTACGTCGACGGACCTCACAAGAAGGGCAAGCCCCGTCTGCTCACCGACGAGGAACTGCCCGATATCTATCTCGGCGACGGCAACCCGGTGCAAGAGGAGGAGGAGACGGTGCTTGGCCGTGGTGCGCGTGAGCGTACCAAGGTCAAGTATGATGACGGCCTGACCGAGGAGCAGTGGCTGATGGCTGTCGATGATGATGACGACAGTCCTGAAGCTGCCGCAGCACGCAAGCAAGGCCGTAAAGACCGACGCGAGGCCAACCGCCTGAAACGAGAGGCTGGTGTGCAGGTCGACGACTCGCCAACGGCCAGCCGTGCCAGCAGCGAGGAGATTGAGACACCCAAGAAACGCGGGCGCAAGCCTGTGGTCAAGGCAGTTGAGAAGCGCAAGGCCGACGACGGCGACGATGAGCCGCCCGCCAAGAAGAGACGCGGTCCGACAGGCCGCGGCAAGGCGGTCTCATCAGGTGCCCAGTCTGTGCTGGCACAGCAACGCGGCCAGCTCAACAAGAGTCTCAGGTCACTGTTCGACGGCCTCATGACGCTTGAGGTGGACGATCCCGAGCCTGTGCCGCCTGAAGACGACGAGTCGGATCCCGGCAAGCGCATCATTATTGGGCCTTTCCTGGTGCTGCCACCGAAGCGTGACTTCCCGGATTACTACATTTTGATTACACAACCCATTTCGATGAAGCAGATTGAAACCAAGATCAAGAAGGAAAAGTATAACAGCCTTAGCGATCTCAAGACGGACGTCGACCTGATGTTCTCCAACTGTCAAACGTACAACGAAGAAGCGTCGCTGCTGTACCAGGACGCGCAGACACTACAGGTGAGTTTACTTAACCCCCTCTCCCTCTTCTTTGCCCTGCCAATGGAATGACTATATACTGACCAACATTTCAGAACTTCTTCCACGACGAAATGGCAAAGGAGCTCGAGAAGCATCCCGGCCTCAAGGAGCTCGAAGCGGACGCAGGTAGCAAAGAGGCATCTGTGGCACCGAGCACAGGCGCAGCGACGCCACAGACATCAGCAAGCGGACCGACCAGGATCAAGCTCATATCTTCTTCGTCGGCGGCGGCGGCCAAGGAATCAGCCCCGGCTTCAGCGAACGGAGGCGGTAGCGACGCGGAGTAGGGGGCGAGCGGACGAGCACGGGGGACGATGTGTATGCAAAAGGCAGAGAGATGGCGTTCCTGGTGTTTTTCTTTTTCTTTTCTAGTTTTTCTCTTACTTTGGTTTTGACACTCTGGCGGACACTGGAAGGATCAAAGGGGATCAATTAGGGGGATTCGGATGCGGGCCAGCATTCTTCCAACACACACAAATACCAGGATGCTGATGAAGAGGGAAGAAGAGACGGGGTGGGGGAAGCGAAGACGAGAAGGCGAGGCGATGCAGCATGTCCAGCTTTGTGTGCTGTGCCACGCTGTGGCGTCTAGCATTAGAGTGGTGGCAGGCAAGGTGTAGTGTATTGTAATAGATGTGTACATGCAACAATGCCAGAGACGTAAATCGATCAATGGATGGTGGGTCGTGGTTGGGTAAGGTATGCTTGCTATGCTGCTGTGCCATGTGAGGATGGCCTATATGTAGTCGGCGGTAGTCCGTGATGCGGAGCGAGTGCTGCTGGGCTGTTGTGCAATGTATGCCACGTCAATGCTCATGTCGACTAGGTAGCTCATGATCACTGGTCATTCCCTCCTGACGTGTGGCCAGTCGCTCTTGGCCACTGCTTGAAGTCAACAGCAGCGAGGGGCAGGCAGGACGAGGCAAGGCGAGGAAGGTGTCGTCAGCAGAGGAGGGAAAAGCAGGAGGCTGGGACCTTATTTTGGGGGCAGGTGGCCGGACGGGCGGTAAACAGGGGGCAGGAAACAGGGACAGGGGCCCGCACTCAGCGCAGAAGGAAGAGCACACACCACGGCAATCTCTTTCCTTGTTTCCCAACTGGGGGTCGAGTGGACGAGAGCAGGCCTGTCAACGTCGTCGGGCTGCTGTCGCTGAGCCTTACCCTTGCTCTCTCTCTCTCTCTCACACACACACACTCTGTCTCTCTCTCTCTCTCTCGCTCACCAAACTTTTTCAGTATCATCAGCGTCAGCAGCTTCATCTTCATCAGCATCCTCCCCAGCAGATTTGCATCTACCGTGCCGGCGCGTTCCTGGACAATGGCATTGTGCACTACGCGATAATACGCCCCCCCCCTTTTACGTCCTCGCCCGCCTTACAGCAGCAACATCGTCCTTGCTGAAACCGCCCCGCCTGCTGCACCTTCGCGGGCCCCTGCAGCCGCCCAATCAGCTCTTCATCGCAAAGAGCTCAGAAGCCATAGGCAGACGACATAGTCACCTCACTCAGGGTGTAGACTCTTCAGCAAGAGAGCTTCAGTCTCCGGCACTTTCAAGTCGGCAGACGAAGATCGTCCGCCATGGCTGAGCGGGAAGGTCGCTACCGGCGCGATGCCGCGTCCGCCGGCCCCGATGACGATGATGACGACTCTTTCAGCGACAGCTTGTCTCCGAGCCCGCCGCCTGTCAAGAAGAGACGCAGTCCGCCACGCGACCGCCCTGCGCCGGTGCCAATGCCGGTGCCAATGCCGGTGCCGATGCCGGCGCCGGAGCCCGATGTGCGCGAGAGGCTACGCGCAGAGGAGGACAAGTTTCGGAGGAGTCCTCTTGTCGGGGGCGGCTCGAGAATGGATGCTGCCAGTCCGAGGGTGGACCGCTACTCACCGCGTGTTGATGGACGCAGGGAAAGCCGCGCCGACGGTAGGAGGGAGAGCAGGCTTGCCGGTGCCGAAAGTCGACTCGATGGACGAGACAGTCGGATGGATGGCCGCGATAGTCGGGTCGATGGAGGGCATCGGGACTCGAGGAGAGACAGCCAGCGCGAGCGGGATCGCGACCGCGACCGGGATCGCGAGAGGGACAGGGACAGAGAAAGCCCGCCGCCATTTTCGACCAAGAGGCAAAGCATTACGGATCGTCTGAGGAACTCATGGAATGCCCGTAAGGATGGTGCCCGCGACACGCCTCCCCCGCCCAACGCCTCCCTCAACAGGCCGCCCTCGCGAATGCATTCGCGCCGGTCCTCGAGTGCCGCTGCACCCTCTCCTCCAGGACCTTCCTCCCAGCGACCGAGTCCCATCGCCAAGGTCCGCGAGTGGCTCGACACCTGCAACGGCGACCATGGGACACACTGCCACGGCGATCCAGGCGGGCCGGCAGCGCCTCACTCGGATTCAGAGGACTCAGACCAAGAGTCTGTCCTGCCGCCGCGAGGACCAGGCGGGCCGCCTACATACAGGCCCATCTGGCTCATTGACGCTGTCAGCCGCCGCCTTGTGCGGGCTCGCGCCCAGGACCGTTACATCGCCCTGAGCTACGTCTACGAGAAGACGCCCGCGCAGACCGCTGCCTCTGCCCACCGCCCCCGCGACGCGCGTCGGGAAAACGTGGACATGTTGACCGCCACGATCGATGATGCTTCAATGCCCCAAGCCATTGCAGATGCAATCTGGCTCACCCGCAAGTTGGGTATCCACCACCTCTGGGTCGACCGTTTCTGCATCGTGCAGGACGACGACCTGGAAAGGGAGGAATATCTTCGCAACATGGCATACGTTTTTGCCAATGCCTACCTTGTCGTCGTGGCTGCTGCCGGCGAGGATGCTGATACGGGCCTCAGCGCCCTCGTCCGTCCTGGCGGAAAGGCGCCGCCGCCTGTGCCCAAGGCTGCCTTGGGCCCACCAGGCCGCAAAGGCCACGAGGACATGCTCATGGACACACGCTGGCGTGACCGTTGCTGGACCATGCAGGAAGGCTTCTATGGCCGGCGTGCCTTGTTTGTCTTCCAAGATACCATGACTTGGGAGTGTCACTGCGACACGTGGAACATGGCTGGTGAAGGGCCCATAGCTGCTGCCGCGGCCTCGCCTGCCGTGGCCAAAGTGCCTGGCCTGCAGCGCATGCTCAGCTTGCGCTCATCGTCTGCTCCCAGTGGCCCGGCACGCCACCTTCACCGTAAGTGCACAGCTCGCGTGTACCCGGCTGCGCTAGCGTTCCGTCACACGCCTTGGCCTGATCTGGACGAGTACGCTCGCATATGCATGGACTTTTCTGCCCGGCGCCTCGGCAATATCCAAGATACCCCAGATGCCTTCCGCGGCTTCACCACGGTTCTGGCACGTACCTTTGCTGGCGGTTTCGTCTGCGGCATGCCGGGTCCTCTTTCTCGACGCCGCCCTTCTCTGGCGGCCTGCCGCCACCATACGTCGACGTCAGCTGGTTCCCACCATGTCCTCCGGCGGCATGCCGCCAGTCCCCAGCTGGAGCTGGCTGGGCTGGTTCTTCGATGGTGCGGCAGCCGACATGACACTCTGGCGGGCGGCCGCTGACTATGTCCTCGAGGCCGGCTCGGGCGTGACACGCAATGGCAAGGGTGCTGGGGGCCCTGGTGAACGTGAAGGCGAGCCGAAGCGTCGGTACCGGTCAGCCAACTCCTTCCGTCTCCGGACACGACAGCCTTCCACATTACGGACCGGGCAACGACAGCGCAGGTCCGCAACGACGGCATGCGGTTTCGCAACACCCGCCATCATCGCAAGGGCGGTTCGGGCCTGCGCTCGGCTGGAGCAAGAGCACGAGCACGGGCGGATTCCGCCATACGAGCGACCCCGGCCGCCGTGTTCCGATACCCCATCCCGCTGGCGAGCAACGTGCCGGCTTCCGAAATGCCATTGGCGGCGGAGAAGCAGTCTACCTGGAACGCTGCTGTCTTAGCACACGAGGGCCATGCTCGAAGTAGAATTGCAGCACGTGCCGCCAAGTCCGCAGGGCCGACGGCATTCTCTCGCATTGGAAATTTGCTTGCGCCCCGTTCAGGGCGTTGGGGTGGCACGCTGCGCAGCCATGACTCGTGGCTCGGAGTGCAAGGGGCCAACTACGAGGGCGAGGAAGGCGGCGTTGAGGTCATAGCCGTCAGCGAAGGGAGCGAGCGGCAGGGCCTCGGCAGCGACGTTTGGGGCCTTGGGTGCGACGTGGAGGATATCAAGGCGAGCGCTGACCAGGATGGCATCGTTGAGTTTGTGAACGTCCTGTGGGTAGAAAGGGTGGGCGGCGTCTGCTATCGGCGGGGCGTTGGGCATGTGCTGCGTCGCGCTTGGGAGGTCTTTGGCCGGGAGAGGCTCGATATCCTCTTGGGCTAATAAGAAGATGTCGTCTTCTTAGGGTGAGTGGTGTTGTAAATCTTGGATGAACGAATGTAGGATAGGGATTGATATACCCTGTGTAGATAGGAGGGAACAGCGTTGTGAAGCTTGTATTTGGTCAGGCTCTATGCAGTCGGTAAATTGGATAGCCGTGTGGCTGTGGACGTTACGGCCTAACGATATCACATTGCACATACGTTTCAGCACTTATTGCAAGAAGTAGATCGAAATGCGCGCGAGAGTCTGGGACGTTGTGTGTCATGCCGATCAAGTCCCACCTGCTGCTTGCTTGCGTGGGAATTAGTGCCCATGTCCTCTCCAAGTACGAAAAAGTTGCCTAGGACATCTTCGTGCAGTTGACCGCCCATGATAGCATGGCAGGCAAAAAGGCAAAAAGGAAGTTGTTCGCACCAGGTTTCGAACCTGGGACCTTTCGCGGATCACACGTTGTGATGTGAGGCGAACGTGATAACCACTACACTATGCGAACCGCTTGTGATTGATGATTGGGAGACCGGGTTCTGCGTTCATGACTCACAGAACTCGAAAATAACGCAGACTTCGACGTCGTGTTGGTGGGGTGCAGCGGATCCAGCACGGTCATTTGCTCCGCAGCGCTTAGAATGAGGACCATGGAAGGAAGACTTTGGTTTTGGAATCAGCCGGGAGACGTTCGCGAAAGCAGGACCCAGAGTAGGGGGAAGAGTAGAGGGAAGCCTTGCACCGTTCACCTTTTTCGCAAAATCATCCGGTCGATCGTTTCGTTGGTTGCAACCTCTTTCCTCCGGGCAGGATCCCAGTGAGGGCTTAAAGCGGCGTGGAACAGACGAACCGGAGCGGGACATAAACGTGCCCCACGACGACAGCAAACTCTCGTCACGCACCTCACTCGCTGTTCACAAGTCGCCTCTTCGGCACAGCACGCACACGTCTCCCACGATGACACGATTCAGACCTTGCATCGACCTGCACGCGGGCCAGGTCAAGCAGATTGTGGGCGGCACCCTCGACAGCACGACGACGGCCCTGCAGACCAACTTTGTGTCGCCGCACCCGCCGGCGCACTTTGCCAAGCTGTACCGGGACCATAACCTCACAGGCGCCCATGTTATCATGCTGGGGCCGGGGAACGACGTTGCCGCCAAGGAGTCGCTGAAGGCGTGGCCTGGCGCTTTGCAAGTCGGCGGCGGCATCAACGACAAGAACGCAAGGGAATGGATTGACGCCGGCGCGGGATAAGGTACACTTTTTCTTTTCCAGAACCCCCTCCTACACACACGAGTCGACTGAAGAGGACAAGGAGGAGGAGGAGGAGGGAAGAGGGGGGGGGGACAATGGCAATGATGGGGGGAGCGCTAACGCATGGTAGGTTATCATCACGTCGTTTCTCTTTCCCCGAGGGCAGGTATAGCCAGGAGAGGCTCGATGCCGTGCTCCATGCGCTCGGCGGCGACAAGGAGCGGCTCGTCATCGACCTCAGCTGCCGCCGGCGCGGCGACGACCGGTGGTTCGTGGCCATGAACAAGTGGCAGACCATCACAGACATGGAGGTCAACGCCGAGAGCATCCGGCAGCTGGAGCCCTACTGCTCCGAATTTCTGATCCACGCCGCCGACAACGAGGGCCTGCAGAAGGGCGTCGACAAGACGCTCGTGCAGAGGCTGGCCGAGTGGGCCAGCATCCCCGTAACGTACGCCGGCGGCGGCCGCCACCTCGAGGATCTGGATGCCGTCAAGAGGCTCAGCGACGGCAAGGTCGACCTGACCATCGGCAGCGCTCTCGATTGTTTCGGGGGCAACGGCGTGAAGCTCGAGGAGTGCGTGCAGTGGAACCGACAACAGCCCGAATCCGGCGCTTGAAGCTGGTAGCTGGTTGTCTGGCCTCGTCGCACAGCTGGGAGGCGGGGTATGACAGCCTTTGGTTGCCGTGGTTGTGACGCTTGCGTTTGCCTGCGTCGAGCTGCGTGACGATGACGAGCGTCAGACGCTTGTTGGCAAAGAAAGGCAAAAAAAAAATCGTCGATACGAGAGAGAGGGGGGGGGGAAGCTACGGTGTTTGATTCCAAAACAAAGCCGAGCTAGCGATGACCTGCAGTAGCTGGTGCAGGACAAGGCAAATCCATCGGGTCGAACCTTGGAAGAGCCCAGACCAGGAGCTGGATGTGCAGCTGCTTGCATGCCAAAGTCCGTCAGACTTGTATGGCAAAGCCGCTCGGATGTCGTGATTAGCGCGCGGGGCAGCCAGGCGAGAGGATTCAGATTTAGATGGGTTAAAAAGGTCCCCATGTAGTGGAGGAGAAAACGGCGTGTTGGGAAGACGCGTATTTACGCGACTTGGTGGGGGCAGTAGGTATTCGATAGATACCTGGGTAGATACCTACCTACCTTACCTAGGTACCTGAGGCAAGTCGTGTCGAATGCTCTGCTGCATGCTCAATTGAGCCTCGACTCGAAAATTCAATCTTCACGAGCAAAGCATAACAGTAGCAATGTGCCAACAATGTCGGCAGGGATGATGATAGCTCGCTCAACAAAGCAGCTGAAGGGCACACAATCGCGCCATGTGCGTTTGCTTGCTTCTGGTCCGTCCACCCCCCGGCTAGCTACAGCCCACTGGCGGTGCGGACGCTGCAGTGATCCATGACGCAGCAAGGCCTCCGAGGCCTGACTCTCCCAGTGGATAGGTGGACGGCCCAGCGGTTGACAGGCGCTAGGGCGTCGCAGATAGGTGGGCACGTGCCGTAGTCTACCTCTGATTCCCTGCTACATGCACCCAGTCTGTAGTATCGCTGCTGGGATGCCACCGTCGTCAGGGCAACCTATGCGGCAGTCCCCCCTGTGCCTCCTTCTCGCCTGTTTGTTTACCGTCATCACCCCGCGCTCCAATCATCCGACCGGGCGCACCAGCTCCTCCCTCAAGTGCCAACCGGCCCCCCCCTCTTGCTGCTGCTCGTCCTAAAACAACATAACAGACCCGCGGGCACCACACCAACCACATTTCGCTTCTTCCTCTCACCACTTGCCAGGAACGCTGTTGATATCATTCTTCCGCTATAGCGGTATTGCGATTGTCTGGCCCGTCTGTCGACTTGCCGTTTTTCACTTCTCCCATCCTGACAGGACCATTCGCACCTCGCAAGCCTTTCCAGCATTCCAGTCGGCCGCTATTGCCTCGCGCGAGTCGATTCTCGTTCCGAAAACCCCTTGCGACCTGACCACCTCGGCCCACCAGCATCGATACCTCTGAGAGGTCGCCATGACATCGTAGCCCACAATGGAGAACGAGGAACCCGTGAGTGCTGTGCCGTTACCCTTCGTTGTCCCTTTGGCTCTCGGTTGAAGATGGCCCCCTGAACCCCTTGGCTGACCTCCCTCAGGTGCACCCTTTGCGCATCTCCAAGAGCAGCTCTGTCGTCTCTTCCCCCAACAAGATGATGGCCAGTAGCTTGCCTCGCCCGCTCTCTGAGCTGTCGCCTTCCGACACAAGGCGAAACTCTCCTAGCTGGAACCAGAACCAGCAGCCCACAAAGGTGAGTCCTGTGCCCCATGAGTGTCTGAGACAGTACGAAAATAAAGGCCACTCGAGCTGACAACGATTTCCAGAAAATGGCCTTGAACCAGGACTCATCTCCATTCCAGTCGTCCCCACTGGAAACTGCCTCGTCGCCCCGCCTGTTCTGGCAGAATCGCAACCTCAACTCCATCAGCACCGACGGACTCTACGGACGATCTGGCTCTCCTTCACCCACCCGTCGTTCCTCCATCGAGCGCCTGCAGAAAGCTTCTCGCGTCAAGAACAGCAACATCCTCGCCCTCGAGCAAAAGCTGGAGTACGACCCTACACGCCTACCTCAGATCGAGCGCCCTCTTGCTAAGGTCCAGGGAAATGCCTTTGGCGCTTCTGGCATGAGCGGTCTTCGCTCCGAATCCGACCGAAGCGGCTTCACTCATTCTCGTTCCGACAGCAAGACAAGTATCCCCATCTACAGCCCAACATCGAGCCCAACCAAGGCCAACGCTGCCGCCCAGTCCTACTTTGCTCCAATGTCGGACGCCGACACGACCAACCCGCCTCGCACCCCCAGCAAGGACCAGGCCTCCCCCATCAAATCATCTCTCTCCACCACCAAATTCAGGTCGAGCGTCGACCAGGACAACGGCTTCTGGTCCGAGGACAACTCGTGTGACGACCGCGAGCTTCCTAGTGGACGAGCCCTTCACCGTCATGCGACCAAGAGTGTTACTTTTGACGCCGCGCCTCCACAGATCAACGAATATGAGATGGCAACGCCTGACATCTCTTCCATCGGCACAAATTCTCGCGAGGGTAGTTTCGAGTCCAACGAGGACGAGATGGAGGACCATCTGCACCACCGCTTCGGCGACCACGATGCGGAGGACAGTTTCGACGCTTCGCTCGAAGATACGGATAAGACGCCTGTTGTCGGCCCAGATGACTGGAGGCAATCTGCCACGCGTGATGATGACCCCTTCGAGAGCAGCCCCATGCCCGAAGCGCGCCCTCATCAATATGCTTCCAACAGGCCGGCCCACTTGCGAACCGATTCTGCCAACTCGGCAGGGTCCGACCACCGTCCGCTGCCGCCTCTCCCTGGCCAGATGACGCGTCGTGATTCTGTGCAGTCTTCTCCTGGACTGTCTGCCACGGCCGAGAGGATGCTGGGCTCACCTAGGAGCCTGCCCTCGCCCCCTCCTGCACTTGCGAGCAAGTCAGAGATCCAGAACATTGGCAATGGCAAGATGTCTCTTGAGGAGCGACTGAAGCTTATGATGCTGTCCGACGATGTCAAGTCGGCTAATGAGCAGCAGAGGGAGCGCCGTCTTCGTCGCGGCGTCCAGCGCGACCGTCTCCAGAGCCCCACGCCCGACCGTGAATCCATCGCCTCAAGCATGCTTGAAGCTGATGAGCAGGATGACACCATCGGCGATCTTTCTGGTCTCGGTGATTACGAGCTGCCGCAGCGCATCTCGCGCGAATCTATCCTGCGTCGTGTGAATGGCAACCAACAGTCGCCAGGAAGAGACTCAGAGTACCAGTTCTCTTCACCGCCTCCGAGCTCGAGCCCTGAGCGTGGACCTGATCGCCGCCTTGCTTATGATCCTGATGTTCCGATTCCCTCTACCGAGGATCCTGGACAGGATGACGCTGAGATGCTCGATACAGAGGATAGTGTTATCATTCATCGAGACGTGCACAGTCAGGACAGAGACAGCGAAGATCGGGACGATGCGGATGGCGACTATGATTCCATCACAGACTTGTATCACCGCGACGACTCTCGGTTGACGGACCGCGATGACGATGAGGCTAGCCAGTACTCCGACGATCAGAGGTTTAACAGCAAGGATCCTGAAGTCCAAGAAGTCAAGGTCAAGGAGGTTCAAGTCGTCGAAAGCGATGAAGAGGTCACGACACCACGTGCTGCAAGCCCCATGGATCACAACAAGGTCATGTCTGAGGCTGTCCTGGACCACGTTGAGCAGAAGTCAGTCGAAGTACAGCAGGCTGCGCCAGAGCCCCTAACGGACAAGCCCTCTGAGGCAGTGGTGCGCGAGGAGAAGGCCGCCACAAGTTCTGGGCTGCCAGAATTCAAGAGCAACGATTCCGAGAACCTCTTTTCTAAGGGCTTGTCGACATACATGCTACCCAGACCTGACGAGGTGACTCCTCAGGTCGAGGATCTGGAGCCGCCCCCGAAGATGACGGATGCCCGCGCTTTCCTACAGCGCCCTTATACTCCTGATCAGCTATCGAAACCTGAGTACGATGGGTCGGGCTGGGGAGAGCCCGATGAGGAAGAATTTGACGAGCCAGGTACACCAGACTCTGTTATCCACCACCCTGTATCGGACGAGGAGGACCTGGAGGAGATCGTGGAAGAAGAGGAAGAGGCCATCTCACCAGTCGTTCCCGAGCGACAGGCAACTATCAAGGCGTCCGGCTCCAAGCTCAAGACCCGCCCTTCAGCGACCCCCTCAGACATTGTCTCGATGCGAGATGCTCGGCGCCAGGTCAGCCGAGAGGTACCTGAGATTCCTCCCATTCCCGAGCGCCACCGCAACCGGATTTCCAGAGACTTCGACGCCGAACCCGAGGCTGACACTGGTGACGATTTCCTGGAACGACACCCCAGCTTTAAGAAGCGCAGTCTGACATTGGATCTCGACCTGGGTCTCAGCCTTGACCAGGACTTTGAGCGCGTCATTGAGGCACAAAAGGTGGCATATGCCCAAGAACCCCTAAAAGCACCCTCCTTCACAACCAGCAGCCCCAGTAGACAAGCGTCTAAACCACCTCCATCCATCAACACCAATCCAACCGAAACTTGTATGACAAATGCTAACGTAACTTCTCGCCGTCAGCGTGGCTACCTCATGCGGCAGAACACGAAGCTCGTTACTGCCAGCGATAAGCAGACTGACGATTACTGGATGACCAAGTCGGCCGGTAACTCGCCCGTCAAGAAGGAGCGTCCCCAGACGTGGACTGTCGAGCCGTGGAACAGCAAGCCCAAGCAGAGAAGTGTTCGGAAGCGACATGGTGCGAGCGGGCCGGTCCCGCCGCTGCCTGGTCAAGAGAGTAATGCTCGTCTCAGCGGCAACACGGACGATATGAACCCCGAATTGGCGACTGAAGAGAGCGGTGAGCGCGGCAGACTTTTCGTCAAGGTTATGGGAGTAAAGGATCTGGACCTTCCCATTCCTAGGAGTGAGTATTTCCGTCTACGCCCGCGAAGCACAATTCTAACCTTGAATAGATGAGAGGTCCTGGTTCAGTCTCACTCTCGACAATGGCGTTCACTGTGTGACGACGGCCTGGCTCGAGCTTGCGCGCAACGCCCCCATCGGGCAGGAGTTTGAGCTGGTCGTGCCTAATGATCTCGAGTTCCAGCTGACTCTGAATGTCAAGCTTGAGAAGCCCGCAGCGCCCAAGAAGGTCATCCAATCCTCGCCCACCAAGGTTACAAAGCCAAAGACGTCAACCTTCAGCAGAGTGTTCGCTTCGCCCAAGAAGCGTAAGGAGATGGAACTCCGACACCGCGAGGAAGAGGAACGTCAGGCAGCCCAGCAACGCGAGGCAGCACAAGCACGACAGATCAAGGCAGCCCCAACCTCATATGATCTCTTATCGCCACTGGCCGCGGAGGATGGAAGCTTCGCTCGTTCCTACGTCTGCCTCAAGGAGCACGAGTCTCGCTGCTACGGCAGGCCATACCTAGCCGAGGTTGCCTGCTTCAACGAGTGGGCTACAGAGGAGGCTGGCTTTGCTTCCAGCGTGAAGAGCAAGCGCGGCAACACTGCCGTTGTCCGGAAGGCGCCTTACAAGATCGGCAACCTCGAGCTTCAGCTTCTCTTCGTCCCTCGCCCCAAGGGCGCGACAGATGAGGATATGCCTAAGAGCATGAACTCGTGCATTCGTGAGCTCAAGGCTGCTGAGGAGCGCTTGTCCCGCAACTGGGAGGGCAATCTGAGCCAGCAAGGTGGTGACTGCCCGGTATGTTCACTTGACATGTCTTGAAGTATGGAACCACGAACTAACAATCTACAGTACTGGCGTCGCCGCTACTTCAAGCTGGTTGGCACCAAGCTGACTGCTTATCACGAATCAACACGTCAACCCCGTGCCACTATCAATCTCAGCAACGCCAAGCGTTTGATTGACGATCGCCGAGCTCTGGTCGAAAAGGAGACGCTCGGCAAGGGTGGCCGCCGTCGCCGATCCGCCTTCGCCGAAGAGGAGGAAGGCTACATGTTTGTTGAGGAGGGCTTCCGCATCCGCTTCAACAATGGCGAGGTCATTGACTTCTATGCCGATACAGCCGCAGACAAGGAAGGCTGGATGAAGGCACTGAGTGACGTGGTCGGGCGCGGCGAGTCGGGCTCCGATGATGATGTCAACCGCAGCAAGTTGAAGGGCAAGTGGTGCGACCTCATCCTTAAGCGCGAGGAGGCGATCAAGAAACGTGCTGCGAGCGGCGGTCGTCGTACGCACTCGAGGACGAAGAGCACGTACAACTAAGCCATCCTCGGTTGTTGCGCCTTCCTTTACTTCATCCTTCTTCACGACTGGACGAGACTGCGATGATAAAAGGGAAACATGATCTGATGACTACAGAGAAGCGGTCATCTTACGGGTCAGCAATGCCCCATCTATTTTCTAGGGATCACCGTGCTCAGCCGAACCCTTGAGAACAAAAAACCAACGACGCCTTGCGCGCGGTGCTCTCTTCATTTTACTTTGTTTAATCAGTTTTTTTTTTTCTTCCTGTTCCTTCTTTCCCGGTATGTTAGGACAGGGCGTTCGGGTGGCGTTCCGGCATGGCTCATGGATGAGGAAAGGGATGGAAACGGTGTGGCGCCGGGGGGGAGACGGACGAATGTCTTTCTTCCGTTCGGCTTTAGGTCATTGTAAAAATAGGAAAACTACATATTTCTGTCACTTGCTAGCCAATGCAGAGTGTGAACGTATGAAGTTGACTGCTCTGCTTTGAGATATGTGTGTTTGTGTGTCTAGCCCTACTGGGCACCCTGACGGCCTTGATGGTTGTGCGCGAGATCAGTCACGAGAGCACGCTCTGACGAGGCTGTTCAGACAAGAGTGGTCTTGGGCGGTTCAGTCAGAGGACTCAGCTGGTCGTTGTCGTGGACAGGCTGTGAGAGCCGTTTCGTTGCAGATACGCTGACGATCATTGTCGTTTGATTGCCTAGAAAGCAACAGTATGGAGAAGCGTATCTTTCAGACCTTACAGACCTATCTTTCGCCAGCGGCAAGCCACCAAACTCGAGAGGAAAGGGGGCAAACAGGGCGGAAACAAGAGCCTGAACGGAGGGGTCAAGCGGGCAGCCTTTCTAAGAGCAGACGCATCCAGAACAAAGTTACTCAGGCTCATCACATTGTCTAGAGCGTCACAGTCTGCGATTCAGCACTGAACCACGGGTCACGACATGTCAAGAACATCAAGGGCACGCACGCAGCACAGAGGGGGGGGCGTCGGGGTCGTAGATGAAACTGACTTGCTTGCTATCCAGTTCGAGATGGCCGTTTTTTGTTTTCGAAGTTCCGACGTCACCGAGCCACGCCAATAAACTATCAAGTCGCCGAACACCGTCCCGATCGCGTCGTAAATAAGCCTGCACTCGGAAACATGACTTTACTCCTCCCGGTAGGCCTCGAGCTCGAGCTCGAGCTGCCGGATGCGCTCGCTCTGGTCCTGGGAGCCGCCGCTGGGCGCGTTGATCTTGCGCTTGAGGCTGTCGACCTCGGAGGCCAGGTGTGTGATGATCTTGGTCTGCTGCTCCAGAAGCTGCTTGATCTCGGCCAGGTGTGTGTCGCCGGACGACGAGGTGGCGGCAGCTGCGGGGCTCGCAGACACAACTGGTGCCGCAGCAGGGCTCGGGGCGGGGGCGGAGAAGGTCTTGGTAGGAGGCGGCTGCGACGTGACTGGTGACCTGGCCGGCGGGGAGGCGGGTTTGGCCTGCGCGGCTGGCGTGCTGACGTTGACAGGGGGCTGGGGCTTGGCTTGCTCGGACCGGATAGGAACGTTGGTGCGCGGCTGGGGTCTCTGGACCTGCTCGAAGCTCGAGTCATCGTCGTCGCTGCTCTCCTCGGCGGGCTCGTTATCCTTGAACTTGTTGGCCATGTTAGACATGGAGTTCTGCTGTTCCTTCATAGAAGGAGGCGGCGATCGAACGGCAGGCTGCGCAGGCTCAGGCTCCTTCTTGGGCTCAGGCTTCGGCGCAGGCGTCGCGGCGACGGGAGCCGCGGGGGGCTTGTAGTCAGAAGCAACTTCCTTCGGCGCATTGCCCTCGTAGATGCTCTCCAGGTCAATCTTGGAGGGGATGCCGTCCTTGCCATCAATCCACTCCTTGGAAGAGACGGCAGGTTTGCTGCCGAAAGCGGGAGGGAAAATGTCCGACTGAAAAGTCTCGGCCCTGCGGGGAACGGTGAAAGAGATGGGTTCAATGTAGGAGTCGTTGACCGTCTTGTATGCGCGCATGACCTCGTTCTCATGGACCTGAAGAGTATTAGACAAGTCCGCTGACGCCCGATGAGCTACTCACGTTGATACCACGCCTGGGAACAAAGGCAATGCCGCGCTGAGGCTCAAGAGACTTGTACTCGCTGAGGAACTCGAACTTGTCGTTCTGGTATTCAAAGTAGCGAATGTTGCCATCACTGTGGATGTCGTCAGCATACGGGGATTGGTCATGTAGACGGTTGGTCTCGTAAACGGCGGGAACTTACCCCTTGCCGGCAAGGTACAGGCAGTTGGAGCCGTCGTCCCAGAAAGGCATGCAGACACCCGAGATGGAGTCGAGCATGGTGAAGCCGCCAATGGGGTCATCACGACCAGGCTCCCACAGGGCAATTTGACGCTCGCTCATACGCGAGAAGCCCGTGGTGGCGAAGCGGTTGTGTTCACCCAGCCAGACAGTCCTGCTGTTCTTAGCGCCAGCGTGGCCGGGCGCCTCGTGAACGGGACGCTCTTGACGCACGTCCCAGACACGGATCTTCTTGTCGCGGGAGGTCGTCACGAGCTGGGAGCCGGCGGCGTTCCACGACAAGCTCTGGACAATGTCGCCATGCTGCAGGGTGTGGGTGTTCTGGCCAGTGCTGATGTCCCACAGCTTGATGGTGAAGTCACCAGAGGCGGAGGCCAGGATGTTGTCGGCAGCGGGGTTGAAGAGGACCTGGCCGACCTTCCTCGAGTGGCCGCCAAGCTTGCTCACGGGGGAGACGTCGGCGGGCTCTTCGGCATCGGTGTAGAGGGTGAAGTTATCGGGGACCTGCCAAATGAAGACCTTGCCGTCCTCGGAAGCAGAGGCGATGATGCGATCGTTGAAGGGGTTCCTGTGGAATCAAAGTCGAACATCAGCACTGCGCCCAGGTCGCGTGCGCCTGTATGGGGATGGGTGCGCCGTACCAGTCGGTGTCAAGGACGGTGGCCGTGTGGCCGCGGAACAGGGGAATCTGGTCAGGCAGCTTGCCCTTCTCCTCGAGGGGAATGACAGCGAAAGCGCCGCCACCGCCAGCATCCCAATTGACCGAGAGGTATTCGGGATTGGCCTGGGCAGACGTCCTGGTCAGCAAGGCATTCAAGTGCAGCGGGGCGACAAGCGCGCTCTTCAGCGCAGCGACATCGTACCTTGACTAGGTTTGTATCCCAGGCATTTCGGCTGATATGAAGGTTGTCATAGCAAAATTCCTTCCGGGTCGGCTTGCCAAAGACGTGTCCTGGTGAGAGCATAGAGCCTAGGTCAGCTTGCGACGGAGAGGCGACACAGAGCACGAAAGAGAGGGGAGGGAAGACCAACGGTACTTCGACGCTCGGACGAAGCGGCCTGCCATCGGATCGATATTGCAATGGCGTAGTGCTAGAAGAAGCTCAGATGTGTGCCCAGGGGCTATGGGATGGAAGTCCGAGGGCTGGGCGGAGAGC